GACTCCTCCTAGTTTAGTTCAGGTCTTCAGAGCTCTGCTATCATTGAAGCCTGAGGGTAAGGCAAGGCTTAGGATTGTGCTTGAGCGTAGGTTCAAACCTAGCCTTGGGCTTGCTACGAGCAAATCAGTGGGTCCCAATTTGAGATAACCTACCTGAGGAAGAGAACTTATACACATCTGATTTTGGTGAGGAATACCTAGTGTACCTGACGTGAAAGACAAGTTCCTGGTCTGATTGTGCAAGAACTAGGTTCATCTAGAGTGGGACAAAGCTAACAATGTTTACTCACTTGGAACAGATTTGGAGGGATCGGATTGAAATCCGGGCGAAATGGATCGAAATTGTTGTATCCGTCATACTGGAAAAAATTCAGGGTTTAGTACGGAATTCAACCTTGCAACCTTTGCTGAGATGTTCTTACCTGAGCTTGAACCATTGTGTTGAACAGCAGGAGCAGAAAAACAGCAACGAACATTACCACAGGAAAAATGACACATGCACGTTGCTAAATGTGCACTTTATGCGGCTCCTCTGTCGTCGTTAACATCGATTGATGATGATTCAACAGAGAAAAAACTGCCCTGAATAGACGGAGCACGTCGAGGTTCAAGTAAACAGCCCTTTGTCGAAAGACTAAAATTCAATATTGTAATAAAATCAGTCATTGATTGGTCTGCAATTCGAAACCGGCAAACTAGAACTATCACAAGGATGCTATAAACACTGTCTCAGCCGGGACGCGAAACCGGGTCTCGTGTTTCTCGCGCAGGAGCGTTAGCCATTGAACCACTGACTCCACTGGCTTCACCATTAGCTCGTTTTTATACGTATCGTGCGAACTGCGGCGAAAAATGGCGGTTATCTAACAATACTGCAAAATCGTGGAGCTCCTTAGAAAAGGGATGAATAGAAGAAGAAAGCAGTCGGCTCTGATCATTCCTTTAGTGAGTTGCGCCACGCATTCTGTTACGCCTCAAAATCGAAGTCTCCTGCTGAAGGCGAAATTACCAATGCAATGCCTTCCTCAATCCAGCCGCCGTAAGTGCTTATCCTTCCATGCAAGTCTTGTACTAGCAGGGTGAATAACGGTCGAGGATTTCCTCGACCATGGCTCTGTACTGTGCGAGAGTAGTGCCGAGAGTGAATGTACGCGCGGAGAGCACAGACGGCTCGCGCATGGCGAGAGTGAATGTCCGCGCGGGAGAGCGTGACTGACAGGCAAAAATCCTCGACGAGTCTTCGTCAAATCCTCGATAATTTTCACCTGCAATTGTCAATCCCGAGGTAGTGGAAGGCTCGGTTGGTGTGGACAGTATAAAATCCAAAATGTATTCTACAAACCGTGCACGTGTTATGCGACTCCACTTGCCACTACACCATTTTCGCCAAAGAAGCAGAATAAGCAGGCTAAACAGTTTGGAGTCGATCAGATCAGATCATCGTCATGCGCTATGCATTTTATTTCCATTCAAAAGTAGGAATGTACAGGCCATTCATTTTATACAACAAGATGAGGCGTATCCTTCAGCAGAGAGGGAGCGACCTCGTTGAGCTCGTACCGTGAACCATGTTTCCGTGGGAAAATCTTCTGATGTCGTCGGTGTAGAAGGCCCCTATGTAATTTTTTGATAGAATAGAATGTGCTCTTCAATATGCAATTGAGCTCATTCGGTTTGGTTTTGGCAAAGTGTAATTAATTCTGTTTTGAATGTGAGTGAGTGACTTTTTTGCCCCCCCCCTGTATTTCATGAATCTTCGGTATCAAAGCGCCGTCTTCGGCTTCCTACTGTATGCAATGGGGCATCATGCAAGCTGCTCAGCCGGTGAAATAATTTTTCCCAAGGTTTATTTCTCGCTTCTGGAATGATCCATCGAACACATGCATCATCGGCAAGCGCCTACAAAAACCCTGCAGCTACGTCACCATAGCAGTTCTGGACAACCCTCTTTATAACTTGCAGAATAATGAATAATATGAAAGCATAATTTATAATGTCACGCGGTCAGTAATTATTATAGCTATACTTGATAATATTCAAAAAAAATTGTGCGATTTTCAAAAAAACATATATCAGAGATCAGATTTACAGCTGAACTTCACTGTTTACATATCCCACGGCCTCCATATCTCTCCCCTCGAATCTTCGCATCTCTGCGGGGTCTTTCTTAAGCTTTTCGCATTTTTCAGCAAAGTTTATTTGAGCTTTGATCCTGTTCACTTGCTTCCAACTCGATCTTGCTCAGCCAGTATACAACGAACTACATTGAGCTCATAACTACGTTTTTTGATAAACCGCTCAAGGACATTTGAAACACTCTCACCAATCCAATAATCCAGAAGTCACCATACGACGCCC